GTCTGAATTTACATTTTCTATACATCCTGTGAAATTTGAGAAATACAAATTTGTCCAGTTGTATCACTCTTCTCTTGATTTGTTTTGAAATGTTTATTTGCAACCATAGGTTTTAGCAAAACCACTCTTCTCAAAAATAATGTATTTTAATAAAAATGTTTCAAAATTGTATTCAACATGGACTTCATGTCTTCAAGGAAAAAATCCATTATCCTTATCCTTCTAAGTATGACTAGCTGTTAAATTTCATGAATAGCTCTTTTATATTTCAAAAGATATAACTATAATTTCTTAGATCTTTGGGTATACTAAATATTACAGATAAAGTGATACAAGATTATTCTAATTATCCTAAATTATTATCCTAAGTTTTGGATGTGAACAGCAAATAAAATAATGACCTGTATAAACTCTGCCTCTGGGTTTATTTTTTAAAACATATACATATTTACATAAACATTCTTCGTAATGTTTTTCCAGAAGTGCAGGGTCTGTTTTTTTTTCAAATCAACTAAGTGTTGATCCACTGGTTTCAATAGGAATTGACCAACCAACTTGTTCTCCTTTTTGGTGGAGATAGCATCCAGGATTGGGTAAATCTCATCCCACTAGCTGATTGGACTGAGTCTGTTAAATCTGTGAGGACACTCCCCTGTTACCAATGGTCCCCAGCTTTTGATTCAATCAAGCAGTTAGGACAGCGTGTTTAAAATTGCTCCACAAATTGGGATAAAATATCAACAAATATTGGTCAAATCCAATCCTGAAAGCTATCAAGGAGACAGCTGGTTCTTGGTCTACCAACTAAGCGGCTGTCAGCACCTGGTGATCGGAGGTTTGGCCCAGATCGGTTGGGTCCAGATCAGCTGATGGCCAATCTGCAGTCAAGTAAGGAGATAATTGCCATGGTTGGTGTGAATGAGCTTAGCTCCATGTCACTAACCAGGTAAGGCTTGGGAGAGCTCTTTCGCGCATTTAAAATGCTGATCTGATGGCTTTCAGAGTTACCGTGGCAACTGTCTGAAGGGCGGGAAGAGAGCTGTCAAAGAAGATTGTGAGGAAATTGACAGCTTCATTATTGATTGCTTGTTCGGGCACTTTCTCGCCCTCGAGTCCAGATGGAAGTGCAACTCCCAGGGGAGGCAGGCTGCCTGACAGTTTAGACAGGAAATGGTGGATTCAACTGCTAATGGCGGCCATGCAAGCAGGAGAGTGGAGGAAATGGCTTGCAGGTCATTACGCTCTCCCAGTCCTGAAGCCCCAACTCCATCAGCTTCCACGGAAGCCTCCAAGCCTAAATCCAAGACTATGGGGTCTCAAAAGAGCTCCAAGGCAGGCGAGCGTGATGAGCACTGTAGAGACAGGGCTCTAAACAGGTTATGGGCTACGAGACAGCAAGCCCTGAAGCTATTCCAAATAGTATGGTGACAGATTCCTGCCAAATGGCCATTAGACAGGTGAGCTAAGCCTCATCAGAATGACAGGTGACAATTACAGGAATTTGCCACTGGGGGAGCTGAGGAGCAGTTTTATTTCCAAGAACCAGAGCTGCCTTTTGGCATTGCTGAGGAAAGAGATTTGTTTCCTGTCTTCCCAGAAGTTGCATGAACAGCTCTGAGACCCAGAGTGGCTCCAGAGGCCACTTTCACCCCCACTGCTGCGGGGCTCTGATCAGCAGGAGGGCAGGACCCTGATATACAGTTAGATATGCAGGCTGTGATAGCTAAAGCAGTTAAACAAGGAGTATCAGCTGCCCTGAATCAATCCAGGTGATCATCCTTAGTGGCCACAGGTTCTTAATCTAGACCAATATTCTGATACTGTGTTTAATAATGTACTAAAATAAAGAAGAACCTTTGGGGGGGAAAGATGAAGATGAGGACTACTAAGCTTAAAACTGGGCAGCATTGACTTTAATTGTGCATCATGAGAGCACTAAATAGCCAAACTACAATGAATGCTTGTAGAAAACAATTTTACCTATAGGTTCACAACAGAGCAAATTTTGACACACTGCTTAGTATATAAATGCGCCCCTCATGCCCACACTTTTCAGTTAGACGCTGCTGCATTCCCCATCTTTTACCTGGCAGTTCTAGGCAGGGGTGGGTTTCTACCAGTTCTGTCCACCTCTGTAGAACCGGTAGCTCTGAAGAGCAGCAGACATAGAACCGGTTCTATGTCTGCTGATGGTTTTGCCCAGCCGCCCACCCGGGCTTTTACCTGATTTTTATTTCCTGATTTTCCAACTTCAGCTGCCAAACGAGGCACAGCTGCAGTTAAAAAAGCAGGAAAAGAGGGCTGTTTCAAAGGCTGTTTCTCTACATACAGCATGCTGATGTCGATTTACAGGCGCGCGGCTCGCAGCGTGCAGGGAAGCACATTATAAATCACCAAAGCTCGTAAATCTCGAACTGGTAGTTAATCCTGTTGTATCCCACCCCTGGTTCTAGGAAATTATTAGCCAGAGTTGATATTTCAGCATGGAATACATCAGGAAAAGGAGGTGATATAGACCTAATCAGGAAATTGAGTCAATCAACACAAGGCATTAGCTACTGATTAAATCTACAACCTTGCAGGAAATTAAAGTGACAAAAAAACAGGAAGAGAAGCTGATGTGGTCAAGTATGGAATAATAAATGGTTGTCCAAGCAAATACAGGCATCATAGAGAGGCTATAGAAGTCTTTCAGGGAAATACTTCCTACCGAGCCAAGAGTCTTTGTGGAAGAAATTCAATTACTACATTTTACAGATATAACTGAAAAGAAATACCCTGGTATTCCAACTTAATTGCAGCAGGGGATATTGTCAAAGGAAAGCTTTGCAACATACAGTATTATTATATTGTTTCACACAAGTAGACAATATGAGCAAAAATAGATCTTTTCTTTGCATTTTTGAGATCTAAACATAGTGACATGGAAAATGCAAGGAAATCTTTGCTAAGGCTGTGGCTTCTCTGGACATGAAGATGGAAAGTAAGAGGATATTGTATTTTCAAAGAGTAGAAGATCACCAAATGGGAAGAAGGTTCAAAGTAGAACATTAATGTGTAACTTGTATATGAAACTATATGTAATACTTTATTGTAGTCATTAGCCAGCACAGATTTTCATGTGTTAGAACAGGGATAGGGAAACTTGGCTCTTTTATCACTTATGGACTTCAACTCCCAGAATTCCTGAGTGAGCCATAAAAGTTTCCCCATCCCTGGGCTACTGGTTTTTCAGTTGTGGGGGAAATCAATTTTTGACTTGAATGGGACTGTTTAATATACAAATGTAGGGCATATGGCTCACTCAGGAATTCTGAGAGTTGAAGTCCATAAGTGATAATAGAGCCAAGTTTCCCTACCCATGTTAGAACTATTAGAGACTTTGTCACTGACAAAGCATAGGCATAACCAGTACCGACTTAAGAAAAATACTTTTTAAAATGGACTTCTTTCATATATTCACAGCAAAAGGTTCAGTTGATCATGCATGGGTAAATGAGCACTTTATTTCAAGATACAACAAAAATAAGTGCTAGTCAGGTAAGGGGTGGGTGGAAATCCAAAACACCTAAAGCAATACTTCTATAAGAATTAATTGAAAAATCAGAGAATAAGATGCAAGCTTTTGAATTCTTCAGAAGACTTCATCAGACAAGACATTAAACAGAGAAGCAGAGGGGACAGAGAAAATGTAAAAAGAAGGAAAACCAAATTTGAAGGAATTTTTATTTTTAAAAGAATAATATAGGTTTATTAAAGTAATATACAAATTTAAACTGATTCCAGAAATGGTTTAACCTGGGACACTATAGAAGATAAAAATGATAGTGAATTAAAATTATCAATTTTCTAATAATCTGAGATTATTAGAAAAATGGATTATTATTATTTTTGTGGTGATGGTAGTGGTTGTTTGGTATCTTTATTTAGTGTTAGGTTTATACATATTTATTGAGTCTTTATATTCCTGTGACAGCATCTTATAAACTTGGGAGAGCACTAATATTTATTAGCCTAAGATGCAGAGATAGGCATTTTTAAAGATATATTTATTATTTTTTTCCAATATAGAATAGAATAGAAAAGAATTCTTTATTGGCCAAGTGTGATTGGACACACAAGGAATTTGTTTTGATACAAATGCTCTCAGTGTTCATAAAAAGAAAAATATATTCAGCAAGAATCATAGGTATAACACATAATAGTAGTCAAAGGATACAAATAAGCAGTCAAATTATACTAGTAACCATAATAATAAGCAATCAAATCATACTAGTAAACAGTAAATAAAAATCATAAGGATACAAGCAACAAAGTTACAAAGTTATTCATGCAGTAATAAGTGGAAAGAGATGATATACATCCATATTGTGTGTGAACAGAGTTGATTCTGGGTATCATTCATATTAATCCAGTTCATCATAACAATATTAGTAATCACTATCACACTTGTCAAATTTAAGTAATCCTCATTATATTGCTTAAGCATACATTAACTAAAAAAAACCCTAGCTCTTCATCTTTATCTCTGTCTTCATCTATGCCTTCTTATTCAATCTAAACATTTCTTTATATATGTAAACAAAATTAATTCTAAGTATCATCCATATTGATCCAATTCACGCTAACAGTATTAATAATCTCTATCATGTTTATCAAATTTAAGTAATTCTCATATTATTTGAAAAATACATAAAAGAAAATGCCTAACATCTGTAAACTTCTAGTCTTTCTATCATGACATTGAGTCCCAAGTTAGATGGCAACATCTTGTAGTTGAACCCCAAATGAGATGGCAATACAGATGCTTTATGACACCTTGAAATCCATCAAGTGCTAATATTTTTAAACTACAAGATTTCTACAGTCCTTTATCTACTTAATATGTTAAACTAATATATGTATAAATTTGCATTCTTAAAAGCAAAAATTCATAGATTTATTTGTATTCTAGAAATAGAGAAAAAAAGAAATATAAAAAAAATGGGACTTTTTTTTACCTGAAATTAAGTTTTGTTTTCTGAGAAGTCAGTGTATTATTATGTGTAGTGAAATCCCAGGCTTCTGAAGATGATTGTGCTGAACACTAAAAGATACAAACAATATGCATTTTAAATCTGTTATATCAACAGTATCATATTGAGGAAAGAAGCTGTAAAAAAAACCAAAACAATGAAATACCACATTGTTCTTGACAAGGTTCTCCATAGCTCTCTTATAATGATAGTTATAGAAAACTGCAAAACTGAACATTAACACTGATGTGCAGGTATTTTACCTGGTATTATTTTATTTATCCCCATTCTTTATTAGTCCGGTGGAAAGACTAGAAAGGAAAACTTACTCTTTTATTTGCCCTTACAGAAATTATTGAACATGCATAGAAACATACCTAATGCACTTATATGGAAGAAAAAGATACATTTTGAAGAGATGCAATAGCATCAGAAGCAGGAATCATGCGTACTTGCTTAGGTTATAAAAATATTGTGAACTGCTTAGATGAGTGATGATTAATATCCAAAATTACAGCTAACACTTAAGAAAGATATTAAAGTAGTTTAAGTAATATGAAAAAATTATCGTATCTAAAAAGGAAAACCTTAAGGAATACCTCCTTATAATCATTAGTATTCCACAATATATCAGTATGGTTAAAAGATAATATTACATAAATTTTTAAAAATGGGAAATGGACTGGTTACATTTCACCTAATTTATATTTTGTTTGACTGTCAATTATATGTTCCCATCTGGCCTAATTCTTAACCTCCCTTTTGGAAAGAACAGCCTACTGGGATCCAAATCACAAATTCATATTTCCTTCTGAGCTCAATTGTATATATTGTAAACCAGTATTGCTAAGTTTAAAACTAAGACAGTCATCCTACGAACCCAATACATCGAACAAATTGGGGTACCCTGCAAGGGATATTCATTTATGTGATTACTGTCTCTCTCCAGGAGTGGGATTAAAAATTTTAACAATCGGTTCTGTGGGCGTGGCTTAGGTGGTGGGCATGGCTTGATGGCTATGTGACTATGTGGACATGGCTTGGTGGTCTGTTATTGGCTGGGTGTGGCCAACTCAATATCACTCACATCGAGGCATGCATCTCCTCGCCTGGCTTCTCATGACTGTGGGGATGCTGCAATAGTTGTAAGTATGAAAAATGGTCATAAGTCACTCTTTTCAGTGCCTTTGTAACTTTGAATGGTCACTCCACACAAGCAAAGAACCAGCAAAGGAGGGGGAAAAAACTCCAGAGACGTTCCTGAGACAGGAAGTCTAGTCCTGCCAAGAATGTAATAAGGGTTAACGGAGAGACAGTTTCTGTAAGCAACACCAGAATGTTTCCTTTCAGCCTTCCTTACAGGATTAGGCCAGTAATTTCTTCTAACAACCGGTTCTCCAAACTGCTTAGAATGTTAACAACCGGTTCTAGCGAATAGGTGCGAACTGGTAGAATCCCACCCTGGCCTCTCTCCAATAACACACTTGTTTTTTATCACGTTAATTTCTCCTTTCTATCTTATTCTGAAATTAGATTATATTTTTTATTTTATGCTTTATTTTATTGATAAAGTTGTAAGACTAGTCAATCAATAAACTATTATCTAATTCATGACTCTTAAATATTAATGTTACTTATCAAGTTATTTGATGATCTGGAATCTTATCTTTTACAGATCATTGTTCTGTCTCACAATGAATAAAATGGTAGATACTAGCTAAAAGCAAAACTAATGATTTCTGCATAGTTAAGATTTCTCAGGCTCCTATATAACTATTTTAGCTTCTTAATAATCCCATAATGATGTTTTAAGATCACTTTGAAACCATTGATACATAGAACCCAATAAACTATTGAAGAAATGTTCATCAGGAGAAAAGGAAAGATGGAGAAAAGGGTCTGAAGTGAGATGGAAATGTTCTGCTTAAGCACGTCATGGCTTTGCATCTTGGGTGCAGAAGAAACATCTACTAAGCTCAGGTTTAATTGCAGAAAGTATATACAAATATGCAATATTAGGATGAGAAAACACAGTCATTTCATAGAAAGAATAAGTAGTATGCTGTCCTTTTTAAAAGAATTAACCTCATTTTCAGTACAAATGTGAAATTTTAAGACAGTAACCTATTGCAACACAAAAACACTACGGAAACATATTTTTCATTAAAGCAACTTAAGTATTGGATTTTGATTCTTTGACAGCATCAAAAGAAACAAACCTGCTGCTGTACAATTTTCTCATCTGTGATCACTCCAGCATTGACTGTGCAAATAATAAGTGTAACATGCTAAATTATGTGAGAAACAGGAATGCCATGAACAGAGTTGATATATTTATTTTGAGTTTATTTAAATAAGTGATGTGAAAAACAGATCCTTCAATTTGGAACAAAGAAGGAAAACTAAGAAGAGAATTTTACATTAATAAAGATAATATCTGAAATCTATATATCTGGACAGTCTTTGACACTTATATAAATCAAAGACTCTTCCAACGCCTCACATGTACTGAGATATTTCAAAGCAAAAAAGTTTATGAAATTTGTCACAGGCGCAGACAGAACCTGATTAATTACTACAGGGGCCTAAGTCCTATTTAGTTCAATGGAATTTACTCCTCATTAAATGAGAATAGGATTATAATAATCATGTATTCAAAGAATATGAAATAGGTTCACTAAAAATTATGATATAAAAATGATTAAATTGGGGGGAAATGAAATAAGAATTTTTTAGTTCCTCTGAACTTTCCTTCCTATTTTTCTTGTAGATTCTACTGCCACCTGATTTATTCAGTTTAATTTAAGCCATATAAGAACAGAGATATGCGAGCATATATAGTACATTTGTGTCAAAATCAAATTTAATAAAGTACACATTCTATTTCCAACAAGTAGAATTTCTCAACATCTGAAAGAGAAATTGCATTGGGATATATATAAGTAAAGAATACATCAGGTTTGCCCACATCTTTACATTTTGGAGGTTGGTAGGAGGTTGCATTTGACTGCATGTAGAACCCTTCAAGCTCCATCATTTTACGATATTTATTTACCATCTACATTACTGGATACTGGGCCAACTGTAGTTCTTGAACCATTTTCAAGGCTACCTGATATACTGTGTGGCAATAATCAACACTAAAGTTCCCTGTTATGGCTCAGCCTATCCTAGGACTGTTTCTTCCAAGTAATTTATCATGTAATTTATCAGATTAAAATGGAACCTTTCCCCAATCTTATAATAATAGCTAGTAATGTATGAGTAAAACTACTATAAAGTCATACCTGATCTTCATCTCTTCAAGCATTCCAAAAAGATACTATCATCAAAAGTGTGAAAAAAGTCCTAAGCGATCAAGTAAAATAAAGAGGCTTAATGTTCCCTGATCTCTCTTCCTATCTTGATCATCTCACAACCAAGACAATCTACATTCCAAATCCAGATCAGACATAGGAGCATCAACAACCAATCAACTGACCATTTCTTCTTTCCCCCACCCCTATGTTCGATGAGAACTATTGGAATGCCTATTTTTGCCACACTAACTTTTCTTCTTGATTAACCTCTACCTTATCAAAAGCTACCAATGCCTTCCCTCAGGATATTCTATTCTATTTGTCCTCTTTGCTCAAAGCTCAGTCTCACTGTCTTTTTACTGTCAAATATTTCATCTTTACTATTATTATGGTTTGTCATACAGTCAGTCACATTTTTAGACTAGATTTGGCATTTTTATCAACCTATCCTTTCAAAGGACCTGGGATATTCCAAATGTGGAATATTATTATTATTTAAATATTTTTAAATATTTTTATTAAGCATATTTCATCAGTTTATATTACTTTTGCCATCTTTGCAGCGTTCCAGCATCAATAATATTCATATTTACATATCAGTTACATTCCTTTTTCTTCCTTTAACTATGTACATTACCATTAAGTTTAATATACCTCTTAAATTACCTTTAAGTTTAATCTTTACTTCAATTTTCTAACCATTTATACCATGTGTCCCAGACCAAATAATATTCTGTTTCCCTCTTTCTTTTAATTCTAATATTATCCTGTCCATCTCCACACAATCTAACACCCTTTTTTATCACCATTCCCTCAGAAGGCGTGCTGTCCTGATTCCAGTTTTGTGATTCCAGTTTTGTGCATATGCAATTCTGGCTGCAGTTGTTATGTGCAATATAATATATTGAATTTTCTTACTGTAGTTTCCTCTTATTATCCCTAGTAGAAATAGTTCAGGTTTTAACTCAATTCGTTGACTCGTGATTTCCTCCAGCCATTTTCTTATTTTGGTCTAATACTTCCTAGGGTAGCCAATTGATCGTATTGTGGAAAAATATTTTCAGGGTGATGAAAATGACAAGCAAAATGACTACTACGAAAACAGGGAAGAAAACAACGTCAAATCCATCACTGACAATAGCATCCCCATCGGGTCAAATTTTAATAGAGGGTATGCTGAGTGGTGAGAAAACAGGCTCTACACTGAGTATGCAGACCATGCAGATGACTCTCCTTATGATAAAGGACATGATGATGATAAGGCAAGAGGCTATAACAAGAAATCATGAGGAAATAAATGATATAGGAGAGAAGAAGGGAGATATTCATAAACTAGATGATAAAATAGGGATGATACAACAGGCAATAGATAAGAATGAACAAAAAATGCAGGTGGTGGAAAGTAAAACAGAACAAAATGAAAAGAAATTAGAAACAATGGAACAGAAACTGATGGCAACAAACAGAAATCTGAAAGACACAATCGTCCATCTAGAAATGGAAAAAGAAGCCTTTTTCTTGAGATTTCAAAATGTGGTAGAAAATAAGGAAGAAGACCTGGTAAAGATCGTGTCAGAACTACTAGCAGATACTCTACAGAAAAGTAAGCAGGAAATCAAAGGTGAAATAGATGAGATTTATAGAATACATACCAACTATGCAAGATGGCACAAGTTACCAAGAGAGTCCATGTGAGATTCCCTAGGAAAACAATGAGAGATGAAATCTACAAGGTGATTAGGGATGAGCCACTGATTTATAAAGGAAAAGAA